ACACATACACACACACACACTCCCGCTGGCCTTCAGGATCTCACAGGACAGGTGATACTATTTTAGCAGACCTGACTCAACGGTGAAGCAATGGACGGAGCATTTCTTTTCCCCTTCTTTTTTCAGTGACAGCTCTCTTTTCTCACAGTCGATGTGACAGGTTGGAATCCGAAAAACATGGGAAACTCCAGAGAGTGGAGAGACAAACTGCTGTGGCTTTACACCAGTAATTACAGTCAGTTAACACCCATCTGATGACTGTTTGTGTTTTTATTTACAGAGATCGTCCAGGTTTGACTTGTTTACATAAATGAACACACCGGTTAAATAATGAGGCATTCACCCAGCTGCTCGTTCACACGCATATTTAGTCCATCCGATTGTTTTGGATGAGCTGAGCGAGTGTGAAAATTAATGAGCACATCCATTTGGGTGGTGGTTCTGGCCCAGTAACAGTAGCGCAGTGTTCGGTCCAACCGTCCATGTCAGTGAACTGCAAAGATGGAAAGAAAGTTGTTTTTCACACACTGGGCGGAAATAGATGGTGACAGTGACACATAAAAGGCAGTGCTGTGGTTTGGAGCTGACGTCATGGCAATCAGCGTTTAAGTCGACGAGGCCTTTCAATGAAGGAAAGCCACACAGAGTAGCCCACAAGCATTTCAGTAAGTAACAGTCTGGGATTGGGTACCACAAGTGGTACATGTGCATGCAGACTGGAACAATAGGCGTCCACAGGCACATGAATGCATGCTTAAGACCCTAGAGGCATAAAAGTCTCTGCACGCATATCCACACACTTCACATAAATAGTCAGACACATGGTGCAGTTCAAAATGGTTCACCTTCACGGCTCTGTCAGATTTGCAGCCACACGTCTTAGTGAATCCCCCGAAGTGAGCTGGGAGGCATGAAACTGTATACCGAAGTAATCACAGTTGTCTCTTTTTTAACCTCTCTCTCACTCACACTCATCTTCTGCCACAAATGCACATATAGGCACACACAAAGCTCCCCTCACTCGCGTTCTCCCTGCGCCTCCACCCTTCCCAACACACCCAATATCACTTAAGAGCCAACCACCAGATCCCACTTTTCACCGCAGAGCTGTGGATTAGAAAAGAAGGCATTTCCCAAATGGTCTGTGGCTTGTCTGATGACATGATTGTCATTCAGTTTAATTCCCTCTGTACTCTTTAGATTCCCGCTCGCCTGATTCTACTGCTACAATAAAGCACCCAGAGAAGGTAAATAACAGTTTAAAAAAACACAGGAGACTCCTGTGCAGACTTGCTCCCTGGAGACACATCTTAGTATTTATTGCCAAGATGAAAGACATTGAAAATAGTTCTTTGCAGCTGGTTTCTGGCGGCTGAGGAAGGCACGAATGCATTTTTGTTTATCTGAAAAATATCTGTGGGCTTATATCGCTACACATGTATAGGCTATCAGACAGTTGCATAATTGAACCTCCTGGCTTTGGGTGCTGCCCAAATCGAACCCTCATGAAGTTGGAATGAATCGCAGCAAAACTCTTCCTCTGATATAAATTACTCCCATGTTGAACTGGAGGCATTATGCGGGTCTAACGCTGCTTAATGCTTTCAAGGCTGCAGAAGCTGTTGCGTATTAAGCTCCAAACATCTCTCCTCTCAGATCTTTAGCACATTCATCCTTTCAGTGATGTCTCTATAAAGCTGCAGGGCAAGTCGGGGAGTCTGCAAGTTCTCCTGGAGGCGAAAAAAGATCGATGCACCTGTGTGAAGGTAGTGGGACACGAGGGATGATAGAGGGTGGGAGGAGAAGAGGAAGAACATTGTGAGTGGATTGAGAGATCAGAGTGATTTTGTTCAGTCCTCCGTCTCCTCGTCCATCCATCATTCTTACTGACTTTGCGTATGTCTGCAGATGAAAGTTGGGAAGGCTCCAGGAGAAGGGTGGGGCTTCACAGCCGCTTTGTTGTTGGCTTTTTTGTATTCAGTGATCCTCTCCACCCGAGGGCTCAGCCATTGAGCATCTAACATTTAGCAGACAGTGTGTGTGACATCTTTTATTTCTTCAAAAGGAGCTGGACTTCAACAACCACAATGGGAGAATTAACCTTAATTGTTTAGGGAAAAACCAGACGACCAGATAAAACGTGAATTTGTTTACAGGTCCATACAGTTAATCCAAAACAGTAGGAAAATCCTCTGATATCTTCAATCTCACTAAATATTCCATTGTTATTCATTACAGACAATAATAGGAAGCACCAGGTTCCCTTTGTAGGAAACTACAGCCATGCCTCCGCACCACCACATGAGTATCTCCTGGGCGGTGGTTTCAAAGCTCCGTCATGACGGCTTTAAGGATTCTGCCGGGTATCTTGCGGCTATCGCAAATGCCCGACAGCTTCTTCCTCATACTGGAAATTACAAAATGAGAGTGGAACATTCTGCTTTTGCTGAGGAGGATTTGTAATTTACTGTAATGGCTCACACATGTACACGCCATCAGCGGGCCTCTGGGCATGGAAATCTCTATCAGTGGTACACACAGGGATGCAGCGGTGGCAGCACACACCTGCAGGCACCGGCGGTTGGAAATGTAGTCTGGACTGCATGCATAACACAATGAATGTGAATGTACACAAAGACATAGAGACATATGAACACAAACAATCAACAGAGAGATGTATTATCCAACCTCAAGCCTATACACACAGACGCAGTTCACAACTTGCATGTAGTATTTGTTTCCTCAACACTGCTGCTGCCTGTTTGTTTCTTTAATCTCTCTGTTTATATTTCTGCGTCCAAACCTGTCAGTACAACTCCAGCTAGAGCAATTAGCATGAGGGGAAAGCAAATAAAATGTCTGATGAAAGCAAAGCCTGGATCCTGACCTCATTCTGACTGAATCTGCTGCTAGCCAGCACAGAGTCATTTCCAAAGCTGTGAATTCCTCAGTGCCAAGCTGGCCTCTCTTTGGATGGATTTACAATGGCTGTTTGTGCTTCAAAACATATCATTATTCTATATTTGCCTGGGTCATGTCAGTATCCGCAGACCTTTTGTTTGAGTAGTTTTACATCTCAGAAGACGCAAATTGCAATCACAGGTTCTATAATGCTTAACTTTGAAACGTTTATAGCTATATTGCTTAAAGGAAACGTTTGACATTTTAGAGCTGAGACACCCTTGTTTGCTTTTCTTGTCCGGAGTGAGATGAAGACATTGATATCACTCCTACAGATTGCAGCCGACTAACTTAGCTTAGCGCAAAGACTAAGCTGAAACAGAGGGAAACAGCTAGCATTGCTCCGTCTAAACGTTACAAAATCTGCTGACCAGCACCTCTTAAGTTCATTACTTAACACCTTGTATCTGGTGTGCTTAAACAGTCCAAAAAAAACGACTGACAAATCACTCTTTTGTGTGAAGTTTAGGTACTGTTCAGTGGATTTAGTTAGTTCTGCACAGGGGGAGTACTTGTCCCCGTTTTTTATTTCATAATGATAATATTTAATGATTTTTCACCGCCGCATTGAAAATGTCCCCGATTTTCATTTCAGAAATCTGGTCACCTTATGTTTTGTGCTATGCTAAGCAGCTAAGTCTGTTAGCTAAAGCGGATGGTGCACTCATAACGGTCAAAAAGTTGAGGTTGGAAAGCGCTATTGAGACACTGCTCACCCTCAGTGGTCGCCATTTTAGCTATGTAGCGGAAGGGGCAACATACATGACGTCGGCGTAGAAGGTGTAATTTCTACCTGCATTTCATCAACATCGTGATGAAATCCAGTGAAAAAGAAGGCGGTGTTGGTGCTAATGCTCTCTCCGGTTGGAATTCACCGTAGAAGAAGGTGACGCAGTAAAATGTTGCAATCTTCATTTCCGGTAAGTGCACAATGGCTGTGCTCGATTTGAGACCTGCTGAAATTAGCGCACTACACAAATATGTATGTATTGTGCATAGTGTACATAGAAGTGTACTAAAGGAAGTATTCAAATTCAGACACAGCACAGAAACTTCCTGGAGTCTCGACTGGTTGGAGCCAAGCTTGCTGTTTCCCTTTATTTCTCTGTGCTAAGCTCAGTTAGCATGTTTAGAAAAAGTCCAACTTTTCCTTTAAGTAAAGTTTAAAGTAAGCAATCTCTATTTTCTCTCAGGATATAGAGGAAAAGCAGATAACATTTAAAATCCTCAATTAGCCAAGACAGCATGTTTGCCAGATTCATTTATTATCTCTGTCTGAAACATACTGTGGCCCCGGGGCCGAGTGTGAGTGTGTGTGCACCGCTTTCTCAGACAGATTATCTACCTCAGCTCCCCTTTACCTCTCTTTCCATCCCCTCACGCATTCAAACAGCTGCTTGGTGTGTTAGTCAGGTTCAAAGTCTCAACTCCATCTTTTTGCCAGAAGAAACTCTATACGTGCGCTAACTTTACACAGTCGGGGGAATATCCTGGTGCTGATCCTTCCTGTACAGCCCCAAAAAGGTGACACACTCTGCCTCCAATACTGTATTCATGGGGCAGGACGGTCGCACGGGCCCCTCCTCACTTCAGGCCCATTGTTGCAGAGTTTTGTGTTGGGAGACTTGTCACCATGTCGGCTACGTGTTGCCTCAGTGTTGAGTCTCAGGGTGCAGGGAGAGTACAAGAGGTTTTGGATAGACGTCCTCGGGGCTTCTCTTATTCACCGGGCTGACTGAGACATCTATCACACGGGTTCAAAGGGGCAAGGAGGATTTTCCTCTGTGGGGTCAGCTTACATGTGCCTGTAGTTCATAACAATTTGCTTTTCAACAGGATTTTTAATTAAAATTGTATGTTAGGAAAACATTTTTGTGTAAGAGAGGGTATGTAGGTAATTAACTTTAAGCATACCAAGTTATCCCAATGGGGTTTTAGTATGCATCAATGGGTTTTTTATACATGATGTATGTTAATAATCCATATCAGAATTTATGTTAGACATAAAAAAAAATGTTTTTGCCATATAGATATAAACATAAGCGAGCGCCTATATGTAGGCATGTTTATCTATAGCTTGAGGAGGGAGGGGTGGAGACTTGTAAAAAAGGGCGTAGGAAAAGCAGAGGAGAAACCTTCCATGAGAGATTGGTAGACCTCAGAGCGCACAGATACAGCAGGCTGCTCCTCTGACTGCAAATAAACGAATCCTGATAAATGACATAACATTCTCGACTGACACGGAATAAATGTGGTCTTTTCTGAGAGAGAAAAAAAAGATAGAGATTATGAGGATCATTTCTGTGCCCTTCCATCGCTGCCAGAAGCTCTCCATGTGATGCCTCACTTTTGCGCAACAGGTTCTGCGAGATACATTTAACAAATTATCAACTCCGATCCATGTAGGAAGAAGAAGCATGCTGTCCCCGTTTTGGCACTTTGGCATCGAGCAGGAGATCAACTCATGGGATGTAGTGGATGCAGAGTCAGGTTCAACTTTGGCAAGGTGCTGTCCAAAGTCTCGGTGTTCTTTACCATGGTCCTGATCTTCACCTACTTCTTCTACTGCCTCACCGGATTCTGCGATTCGGCTCCGAGAACTTTATACAGCCAGCGACCATTAGACTATGACATTTTGGACGATCGTCGTCGCATTTTGGACGACCTGCGACCATCGCCGCGTTTCCTCCCCGACGCGCCGTCTCAGCGGAACCGCACAGCCTCCGCGGACGCAGAGCAGGTGGACGCGGCGGAGCAGCTGGACAGCGCAAAGGAGGGCGCCCAGGGCAACGGCATCCCCGTGTCCAACACTTTCGGGTCCAAAAGGTTTCCGCAGGCGATTATAATTGGCGTGAAGAAAGGAGGAACCCGCGCCCTGCTGGAGTTTCTGCGCATCCACCCGGACGTGAGAGCGGTCGGCGCGGAGCCTCACTTCTTCGACAGGTTTTATGATAAAGGACTGGAGTGGTACAGGTAGGGAAGAGACAAACACACACACACACACACACACACACACACACACACACACACACACACACACACACACACACACACACACACACACATGTGCACCCAAGTTTAGGTTGTTTTGCACGGACTTTTTAAACCACTAATATGAGTCATATTATAGGTCCAACAGAGTCTAAATGTGAGCGTTATAAACACTACTACACTGGCTATAAATTCACTATTGGATGGCACAAACATGCTTTAAGTCCCACTAGGACTATGATAAGGGTTTTTATTATTATTATTATTAAACCTTTTTTTGAATTGCTTTTCAAATATTTCAGTATTTAAAGATAGGCTACATTACACATATACTGTACAGATTATACAAAAAAAAAACAAACAAAGAACATGCACATTTCTCTTGACAGTGTGTAACACAGGGCTATGATACAATATTACAAGTCAAGTTCATCCTCTGATGCACAGAGAACAGGGATGGGACACTTAAATATCAAATAACATCATACTGTCATGGTGATCATCTCTACTTATCACTTCCAGATAGGGACCTCAGTTATTTCTAAAAAACACTTGGACTGTACATAAAGAATCTATCCTAGCCAGCTCATCTCTCTTTTCTTTGAAGCCGACTTTCTCTTTTGCCTCAGCACTATCTCGCTTCCCGTTATGAGGGCTAATTTCACCCAAGAACATGCTTGTGAGGACAGGATAGCCTCCACTGGTGAGCTGCATTGGACCCCCCAGTGAACCCCTCACTGAACGTCTATCATCTGTTGACATGACCAGATGTCATTTCACATTCATACAGCATGTGGGCCAACGTGCCCCTTTCTTTGTTGCATCTTCAACAGCTATCATCCTCACTAAGCCCCATCATAAAATTTGGCTGCATGTCCCGGGCTATGGAGTGCCATGACTGTACTGCGTTCCTCCAGGCTTGAATATCTTTTTTTCCCATGTGAACTTAACACTCTCATACCAGGGGATTGATGTTTTTTCTAAGCTCATTATAAAACCTGAATGTCTCCACCTCTAGGCGGTCCAGCTTAATCGCCATATCTCCAGAATGCAAGGGGAAAGAGTTTTCTTTCTATCTCATGTTGTTATACAACTCCAACTTCCAAAAATCTTTCCTAGTTATATTATATTTAGACAGCAGCTGTTCAAAACCCATTAACAATATCCCTGCTCTCACCCAATAATCCCCCATGATAGATTTTGAAATTAATTTTCAATAACTTATTATGCTAAAGAATACGACGCGTTTTAAAACCTTTCCAATTAAGCTTCGGATGCCATCTCTGGATGATGTACTGCAGGACGAATGCTCAGAAGAGCAGCAGTGGTGTCCCCGCCAACAGGCAGTCCCCGTGCAGAAATGCTGATGTCTCCTTGTCAATAGACTGGACAGCCATACACTGTCAGATCACCATAAGCCAATATTCTCCCTACATGCTGCACTGTAGATCAAAAGGCTAGTGGGGTCCCTAAGGAGCACTTCATCATCTTGACAGTCATCTAAACACCATTTATACACTTCAACGTGACATTAACATTCCCACCTTGTTCTTAGTGATTACTCTAATACATTTTTCACATATAAACCTGACTGATCCAATTAATTCATAATCAGGTCTAGGCTGCACATCACAATGATGCTGTTTTTACAGTTCTATACATGGCGGCACATAAAATGTTCGTCGGCTACTGTCGCACTGACAGCAGCTGATTTGAGGCTGACCAGAGCTATCATTTGGGTGTAGTTTAAGGCCCTAAAGAAGAAGGATTTAGTTTTGGATGAAGCTGAATCCTGATCATCTCCAGATGTTCCACAAAGCTCCTGGAGAAGGTCCCAGCTTAGCTCAAACCTCTCCCCAGTGTCAGAATACTATTTTGGACCTGTGTGAGCATTAAAGGTGCCATAAGGAGACAGCCAGGTTTGACAGGATGATGAGCACTGAAAAACAAACGCTGATGTAGTTTAATCTTCTTGTGACTTTTTTTTTTTTTAAAACCCCCCATAGCTCTGTGACATATGGAAACACTTTCACCACTGATAATTTTAGCATGCTGCTAAGCTTCCTCTCTAGCTTTCTCATAAACACACACACGCACCACATGCAGGTTTGCGCTTTGCTTCCTTTTCTACAACTCTTCTTTTACATGTCCCTCCTCCTCTGCTGTCTCTCTAGACCACATTTGTCCTTCCTCCCACAACCTTCTCTTACTCTTTCTTCCCTCGTGTCTAGCTCCTAACTTCTCTGTATTCTTCCTTTAGTGTGGAGGATGTCTTTATGTGGAAATACCTGTGGCAGACCTGGTGTTTCCAGGCCATGTTTTATGTGTGTTTCTGTGTGTTTTAATTAGCCTGACTGGTGCTGTAAAGCTGTTAGGCTTTAACGCTGTAGTTTTGTTAGTGCTGTAACACAGCAGCGACACTAACATGGTCTGTGAAAGTTAGATTAGTCATATGTTAACTCATGATTAATGATTGTTTTCATTATGGATCAATCTGCTGATTATTATCTCAGTTAAGATTTTTTTTAAATAAAAGGCACATTCATTTGAGCAAACCGTGAAGTATTCAAATTTCTTGTTTAGTTTAATTAACAGCATAAAACCTAAAGCTGTTCAGTTTACTATCGTGTATGAAAAAAGAAAAGCAACTAATCCTTAGATCTGAGAAGCTAGAACCAGACAATATTTGGATTTAAAAGTGAATGAAAGATTAAAGAACAAAACAAAAGAACAAAGACTTCATGTGCAAAATAAAATGATGAAAAAATGTCTCAGCATTTGTAGGTGTTGATTTGTCACAGGCGTTTATATGGATTTAAAGGTCCAGTGTGGGACATTTAGGAGGATTTATTTGCCTGAAATGGAATATAATATTCATAGGTATGTTTTCATTAGTGTATAATCACCTGAATATATGAACCAAGCGGGTCTACTTCCATGGAGTCTGCCATGTTGAACTGCCATGTTTGTACAGTAGCCCAGAACAAACAAACCAAACACTGGCTGTAGGTTGATTTTTGTGTTTTGTGGTCAGCGTAGTTTCTCCTACACACTAGCCCATTCTCGTTCCCAGGTTGTCAAATACAGACGCAAGCTGCAATCTGTGACTTCCTTAAAAAATTGTTGACCTGTGTCCTTTAACAAATTACTGCAGGACAGATGATCCAGTTAAACCAGGTCTAAAAATACTGGTTTTGTTGATTTTTAACATGAACATATTTCTACTTTGGATAGAAGTAGACATAGATGAAACTAGAGGTGGAGAAGAGTTGGAAGGATTATCAACGACAATAGAGACAGCAGCAATGTGATCGTGGGGGAAATCACTGAAAAATGACACCCCTGTTGTCACTGAATCTGAGAGAGAAATTGGGAGAAAATCTGTTTGTTGTCATCGGCAGTGACCCACAGAGAAACCGCTGGAAGTAGTAGAGTGTGGCGGTGTGTGTGTGTGTGTGTGTGTGTGTGTGTCAGTGACAGCAAGAAGTCATCCACATGGAACAAGCAAGTCCTCCTCACCTGACTGTCAGTGAACAGAGGGTCACCTGTCACATCTGGAAACTAACACACACACACACACACACACACACACACACACACACTGTGTATGACGGGAGCTGAAAAGCAACCCTGTCATTTTATCTTGTTGAAGTTTCTCACATCATCTTCAGCTCTCGGGTCAACAGGATCACGTTTCTGTGATTCATATGGATATAAAGATTTCCATGGATCATTAATTTAATCTTAGATAGGCACCAATTAACCTACATTGTATTATTACTTTATCGACTCTCCCATCCAAACACTTATGACCTTTGCATGCTTATATTTTAGCCATAATCAATATAAAACGTTTTCAAATGCCTAGTCAGAATCTCACAATAAGAAATAAAAACATAGCCTCTGCCAAAGACTCATGGTTTCATATTCTCATATTCGACAGCAATTTGTGCGTTGTGATACTCCGCCGGCTTCCACATGTCTTGGATAGAGAAATAAGCACGAACTGCAGGCGATTTTAGCAGATGGATGAGAGTCGTGTGTCATATATTTGCTGTCAGACATTGGCTATCTGCATGCTGGAGACACTTCATAGACGCAGCAATGTTCTCCCGAGCATGGTGCTCCAACAGCATTGTCTTCGGCGAGACAAACTCATTCATGTGTGTTTTCCATCACTTTTATCTTGAATGCTCCAGTCTTGCTCTCTCTGTCTTTCCTCTCCACCCAGTCTGTCTCTCCATCCAAACCCTTCTCTCGTTTGCATGTGTGCATATGAGCCCATTACGGGAATGGAAAAGCCACAAATAGTGCATTCAAAATGAGGCAAAGATTTAATGAATTTCTGTGTTGTTTTATGGCTTTAAGGGGACTTCATGGAGTGATGGGTTTCATATGAGACTTGAGAGCCACCGCAGAAAACTGAAAAACCTCAGCTTTCCATGGCACAATGGCTCTGATTGTCACGGTTTTGTCACCATGACGTGGGCTGGAATGAGTAACACACAAGTCTTTTATTTAGCATCTTCAGTTCCTTGATGACGTTAAAATGAGAACATTTGTTGTTGTTGTCTTGTAGCAGGACAAGCAGTTGTCTTTTAAAATGAAGAGTGTGCTTGCACTAATCAGTTACACAGCTTTGAATCCAGTAACATCCTAGAACCTGAATGACTCGTCCCCCTATATTTGATTTATGAAAAGATCATTTATGCATTTCTATTTGAGGAAAAACACTAGTCCACAAGTTCCATCAATATTTTGAAAGCTTGTCAATTAGCTGACCTACAGTCTTGACACTAAAGGCCATGCCAGATCGGATTGCTATTAAAATATATTATAAATCCTTTAAGGGCAGCAGCACAAGGGCAATAAGTTACATTGCTCCTTAAAGAGACATGGATTTTTGTGAATAAGGGTAAAAAGTGATGACGACAGAAAATGAGAGAGAACTATGCTGGTCTTTAAGATTGGGTCATTTGTGA